TTCTCACCTATAGAATGCTCTTAGGAACTGTCGGTGGTTATGAAGGAGAGCTTGGAAACTCTGGAGTAGCAACTTGTTCTATAAGTGGATAGTGTAGGGTGAGGTTCCAGTACTGTGACACTTGTTGGTGTTGTGAAAGACATTGATTAGGCCTTCCTGGGCAATGGAGGAGGTGAGTATCTCCAGGGTGGAGTGTTGGGCAACTGAACGGACGACAGCGGTGTCGATAGATAATCAGGAGCAATCCAGTCATGAGTTGAGGGTCGGAGAGGGCATACCAGACTCATGTTGTGGGCTCAAAAGCAATCCAGACCTATGTTGAGGACCATGTAAAGGGTATTCCAGTCATAGGCTGTGGGCATAGAGATTGTGATGGTTATGCCTCTTACAGGAGCGCGTTCGGAATGGATGTGTTGTTGAGATTCGGGGGAGTTGTACTCGGTTGTAATGAATCAAAGGATTGTGGATGAGACACAAGGATGGATCTTTGGATCTCAAGTTATGAGCAGACCTGAGTTATGTTCATAGAGGTATTCCAATCTAGGGTATTCCATCATGAGGATGAAAGGACCCTATGAATGATTGGACCTGATATGCCTGGTATTCCAGCCCGAGGCTGATTCGGCCAGGCATGAGTATTTGTGCTTATTAGTGGGTTGATTACGTATGTTATTTCGGGAGCTGAAATTATCCTGTCAGCACGAAAAGGGTTCACTTCAGGAAGAGGGAGAGTTGGGTTTCCAATACTTCGGATCATCAGGACTATTGTCAGGATTGGCAAATGGCGTATAGGTTAGACCTTCCAAAGAAGCTCAGTCAGATTGGCGGCACTTTTCATGTTTGGCAGCTGCAAAGGCGAATATTGGATGAGTAGGCGGTTGTATCGATGGGTGATGTTCAGGTCGGAGAGCACTTGAACTATGTAGGGAAGAACTGAATGATTAAGAGGTTACTGTTCACCGTTAAGCGTTCGTATGCCTTCGATTTCGTTAATCAGTGTCAAAAAGTTTCGTTAGTTTGGAGATGAGGAATTCTAACGAAGTGATGAAGAACAGAAATTCGTTAATACCGTGCAATGTAATTTCGTACGAAGGGAGAAACAAAATTGGGGAAGATGAAAGCAATGTTACGAAAATGACCCCTGAACTTACGAAAGTTTGACAGCTTTTATAACTCTTCGTACGTTTGGTAAAAAATAAAAGAAAGAAAAAAACTTTCGTTAGTTTTGTAAAGAAGAAGGGTGAAGAAGTTTCGAATATGGCCCTTATAGTTTCGACTGTTTGACAAATTTTAAAACGCTTCGTATGATTGGCAAAATGTTTCGTATGTTTGGGATCTTCTTCGTATGTTTCGAGAACAAAAGGCTTAACTTTCGAAAATAGTCCCTGAGGTTTCGAACATTTGGCGGTTCATACCCATTTTCGAAAAAGGACTGATTTTGCTGAAAATTGAAGAAAATGCATTTCAGGCCCCTACAGTTTATGTGAATTGACGCTTTCTACCCAGCTTCGGAAAAGGGGGAGAGTTTCGCATATTTGGCTGTTTTGGGCGCACCGGGTCACTGCAGAATTTTGAAATTGACAATTTCTACCCATTTTTGAGAAATTTTGTCAAAGGTGGTCCGTGAACGAAGCTAAAAATTGAAGATTTTTTTGGTTTTCCGGATTGAAGCACAAAGTTTATACCACATTTTAAGGGGGAGTTTTGACACGAAAAATTTCGAATAGAGCACGTTCTCTTTCCTTGAAGGTTTTATAATCAAATTTTAATTATAAAAAGGGGGAGAAATTTATATGGAAATTCGAACTTGAATTTTTCATATTACGCGTATTTGAAGACCGAAGTGACCTTGAATTTTTGAAGCTTGCGAAATGATGCAATTGGAAGTTCGGAAGTGATGTATTCGAAATGGGTTTGGTTTTATTGAATATTTTTGGGGTGTGCTTTTGTGCTCAACTTTTGGTGATCAATTTGGAGTTTGAGAAGTTTGTGATCATTCGTTGATGCTCGGTTTGTATGGTCTCACATCCTAGAGCCCAAATTGAAGAATCATGGAAGAATTGAAGATTGAAGTTTGTTTCGACATGTGTCATCCTTGAGGCTCGGATCGCGTAGTTGCTAAATTTTGGAAGAATTGAAGTGGGTCATTCATTCCTAACTTTGAGGGGGAGAATGTTGGGGTACAAAGTTTTCCATGAATGACTTTGTAATGTTTGACTTTTGTAAAACCCACTTGCATGTGGAGTATTAGCCTTTTGACTCATGAGATAGAGAGTGAGAGAGAGACATGTAAACACCTCTATATAAGGTGGGTTCATACCACTTGTAGAGGTGTGCTTGAGAGGTGTAAAAGTTGAGTGTGTAAGTGTGTGTTATTTATGTAGTCTAGATCTAGATCCTTTTTGTGTAACACCATATAAAATCAATACATCTCTTGAACACCCAAATCACCATGTTCATTGTGCAATCTTTAATTCCGCATGCCAAACCATGTTCTTTAGTTAGTACAGAAGTTACTTTTAATTGAATTCTTCAAGGGCTCAGAATGATTGAGGTTGAATCGGTTCCGAAATCATTTGCATAATTCCGAAATGTTCTGAACATTGGAAGCTATCAGAATTCACTGTTCATATCGGAATTTAATTTTTATTTTCGAAATGTTCTGAGCATCGGAAGGCATTAGATTTCACTGTTCATTTCAGATTTTGATATTTGTTTCTGAGTTGTTCCGATCATCGGAAGCTGTCTGAATACACTGTTCATTTTGGATTTATCTGTTTTGCTAAATTTTTTCAGATAACTTCTTAGTTGCGAGAGGGTACGATGGTTCGTAGGCCGATGCACTAGGTAACTATTTTTTTTTTTGTCTTTAAATTTCAAAAAATCCAAAAATCCAAAAAAAAAAAATTTATGTTTTCTTTAAATTTCAAAATTTTCAAAAATCTAAAAATATTTTCTTTAGTTTTTTTTGTCTTTAAATATCAAAAATTTCAAAAAAAAAATCCAAAAAAATATTTTCTTTATTTTTGTCTTTAAAATTCAAAAATATCGTGGTTATGTTTTATCATTTACTACATTGGCATGACACGTCTACTTTCTTGGAATCAAGTATTCTTCTTTTTAAATTATACTAGTTAAGTGTCCCTATAAGCATGTTGCAGTATGTTGTACGAAGTTTCAAAGATTCTTTGTTTGCGAAAAGCCTTAATGAAATTTCTTACTCTAAGTATTTCTTCTCAATAGGTTGTATTAACAAAAATCATAGAGCTACTTATCTCTACTCATTTTGGAGTAAAGAGTTGTCTGCTTGGTCCATTTTTTCATAGCATAGGTATTATATTTCTTTTAACCATTCTTGGAAACCAATGATGTCTTGGATATATACAAATCCAAACATAGGGTTCCTTTTTCTAAGCCTTAAGGAATTGGCGGTTTACACAACAATAGTTATTGATTAACCCTTGGTCTTTTGAGTAAATAACAACTCAGAGTTATGGTTTCTAAATAATTATTTCTTACACTATGCACACACAATGATCCATATCCCGAGACATCTCTAGTAAAAAACAACTAGGATGTAGGTTTGCATAAAGTCTGTATTTATGAGCTTTTCATCGTTATTACCATGATGAAGAGTGAGATCCATCAAACAATGCCATTCTCCCCAAAGGTCTCTAGCACTTTCACACACATCACTTGAAATCCTTAAGGTATCAGGTAAAACCAATTTGAACTAAGATTTCAAAAAGTCTAGTTAATGATTCTAGTCATTCTTCCCGTGACTAGATGAAACTCTTATTTCCCTTGGTTACTTCAATTAGTGGCAGATATAATCCTAATCGTAATTCCAATGGATTCTATTTTGGCTTATGCAAAGCTAAAGGGTGGATTAATGATTGTGAAACTTCTGAAAATTAAAATGTAATATTTCAAAAATGGTAAATCAAATCATGGCGCGAATCTTGGAGCTCAATGATGACGTTCTAACAATTTAAAATGGCGTCAAAAGCAGTTACAAACTTTCATGAGCTGACAATTCTCAATTGGTCCTTTATTTTTTACGCGATGGGCATGGGAATTCTTGGCTGATGTGGGCTGACAGGCATTTAATGTGTGAACGGCGGTTTCTCTCTCCACTTATTCAAAATTGGTTCAAATTCAAATAAAAATGTTTGGGTATCCAAGCCTATATAAAGCTTCAGAGTTGGACGTTCTACTCTTTACGCTCACAAAAATTTCCACAGCTTTCTACAAAAATCTCTATTATTATTCTTTGATTCTTTACAAGCATTCTTCAACCATAAATGGCTTCTTTAGAGAACATTTCTTTCGTGGATCTAACTGATTCAACCGCTATGTTGAAAATTAAGGTTAATCAGATATTGGTAGCTGATTTGGAAGCCTTGAAGTATAACACTACTATTCACACTTTGATCGGATGCCTTAAATATTCTCCATTTATGAAGGCTCTGTCGATGTTCGAGTAGGTTCCTTTGTCTTACTTGTCTGAGGCATATTCAACTTCTATCCATCATACTACTCAAAAGGTGATTAATTTTGAATTTCATGGGCTCAAAACCTCAATTTTAAATGTTCATTACTTCAAGATTATATGGTTTTCTTCTTCTCTCGATGTTATTTGTCCAGAATCAAACGCAATTTCTCGTCTCATCTCTATGTTTCATCAATTGGGGTACAATTCTGATCTTTCTCTTTTATCCAATTTTAAGAAATATGGCTTGCCTCCTGTTTGGAATGCACTATTCACCATCTTGTTTAAGTGTTTATCTAAAAGGGTTACTAGTTCTGATAGTGCAAGCAGAGCTTTCTATACTTTGATCTATGGGTTATTTTCTGTAGAGAATATTGACTATGGAACCATTGTTTGGAGACAGTTTGCTTAGAGTATGAGCTCTAACACCAAAGATTCTGAAATTTCTTGTGCTCGATTTTGGTCAATTGTGGTTCCTCGTTCTTTAAATCATTATCATGTGCCAGATATGAAGGACGTTGTGATTAATGTGATTCCTAAAATGCAAACAACTACGTTTGTTACTTCTGATCCTAAGAATTTTGATTTTATTGGTTCTATTCCAGAAGTAATGTTGGCTAGGGTTCTTCTAGATAACGATATCATTAAGGCTTACTGGTAAATTCCAAACTCTGTTATTCGTGAAGTTCCTGCTTTTTTGCAAACAACTCTAGCAACTGTTGATATTCTGAAAAGAGGAGGAAAAAGGACATTGCAAGCTACTGGTGGTGTTCCCAAGAAACAGAAGCAACAAAAAAAGCAAAAGTATAAGCGAACTGTGATTAATGCAGATTCTGATGATCAAACTCAAAGCAAGGTTATGGGAGAAGATTGTTTTGTTCATGAAGAAGATACGACATATACTTCCGAAGTCCCTTTTAAGACTTTTGAACCAATTGCTTCTAATGAAATTCTGAAAGTCTCTACACCGTTATCGACTCCACCTGAGTCTGATGTTAATGAAAACATTTTGAAAGAACCCATCATTAATCTTTCTCAAACTCCAACACCACCACTTCTGATATCGACATCCGTACCGATTGAATCTTCCATTCCACGTATTCCAAAATTAGTTTTGGAACCAACATCCACTGTTCAAACCACTTTGCCATTTCAATATCCGATATTCACCAATTCCACAACAACTCCTATAGTGTCTTAAGAAAATCCAATCACAAATACTCCACCAGAAGCTTCTACTAGTGAATCCAATATGGAGGAGAATAGAACGTCAAACATCCCTGAGCACACATCTAATATGTACTCAAATGTTAACATTGGTGTGACTACATTGGAAACTCCATCAACCTCAGTTCTTCCGCTGTCTCCAAGTTCTGATGCAGATTTTATTATTGGAGATGAACCTAAATCACTAGAATATTTTTTTATTCCTAAGTTTTATTTTCAAGTTGAAAGTGATGATGAGGTTAGGTTATCTGCTCCAATTTCTCGTGGTGAATTTTGTGAGCCGAATAAAAAGATTGATCAAATTCTTCTTTATACAGGTTCTTTTTCTACAACAAATTGGCAAAATATGGTTACTTATCATCAAGCAGCCATCGAGATGCTTGTTTAATCCAATGCCAATATCTTTGATAGTCAAAAGAAATTAGCTACAAAATCAGCTAAGAGGATTGCCAATACAAAATCCAAAATTGATAAAGTTGTTTCTGATGTTCAGGAAATGACCCCTGGTATGAAAAAGTCTATGGTTGATCTTTAAGATTCTTCTGATAAGAGTGTTACATAATTTAATAAGGTTATTGAAGGATTTCTCTTATCCCTTCAAACTCAGAAAGATTCTCTCTCTAGCCTTCATTTCGGACTTCAACGTGATAATGCAGATCATCACACGTCCATTGCAAACTCAGTATTGAGAATGCAAACTGATCTTGCTCATGAAAAATAAGGTTATGGATGCTCTTGCTGAATAAACTCAGAAAGTGAAGGTACTCACGGAACAACTGAAGCATGCTATGATTGAGCTTAACAATGTGAATGAAGAATTACTCTTGGATAAGGGCCAAAACTTTGAAATCAATCAGCGGTTGGTTATAATTGTTGAGACCAAGGATGCTCATTACACTGATTATACTTCATAAATGATTGATTAAAAAGTGAAGCATGTCCTTACAAAAATGAATGAAGTATTGGATGTTACGCGTAGCCTAGCTACTATGCAACAAGGCGGAGATGGGGAAGAAGAACAAGGAGCAAACAAAAATGAAGTTCCTAATAATGATCAAATTCCAGAAGTCAAATTGCAAAATCCCTATGAAACTGGAAAGATGGCAAAAATAGAAGCTGCAAAAGTTGTTCTTGAAAAACAAACTTTTTAGCAGAAATTTGAAGAATCTCAAAGCAGTAAAAACTGGTCGGAAGGGTAATGTATCTTCCAGATCAGGGAAAGGAAAAATGAACATCGTTTTGGAACATGGAGATGAATTTAATCCCAAATTACCAAAAAATGAATTGAAAGAAAGGGAGAAACGTGATAAATAGCTTGATGAGTTGAATGCCTTAAAAGCAAAAATTGAAGCAGAAGAAAAGAATGTTAAGGAAACTCTTGATGTAAATAAGGAAATGTTCCCTAAATGATCTATAGATCGGATTCAGAAAGAAGCTATTGATAATCTGAATCTATTTTGGTTAGAGCCACAGGTCTCCTTCTTAGTTAAGAACGAAATAGATTGTCAGTTTGATTTTTCCGATTTCTACTAAGGCATTTCTGTTCCGATGTTTTTATTCTATTGTGAAAGCTCATTTGTTAAACAAAGGGATAAACAAGAAGTTGTTTACTTTTTGCATGAAGAATTCTAAGCCTCGATATGAATCATGGAGCTTAGAAAGGATTGTAGCTTTGAAAGTTGGAAAAACCAATGGTTGCTGATGGTTTTACAAATGTCAGTTTGAAGGTTTATAGAGGTCATAGTCAAACATTGCATGAACTTTCTCTGGTTGATATTCCATTCTTGAATCCTTATGATTGGATTTCGTTGTTCAACATCGTTGCAAAGGACGTTGTGAAGTATGAGCCTATCTTTTAGTTTTTTAGAAGAATGATACGGTCTTATATTCTTCAAAATGCAATTATTGATATTGAAATTGTAGTGGCTCTTAATCGGAAGCCTATTCTGAAACATTTCCAGCTCCTGGTGACATTGATGAATTTCAATCTGGATTTACTGAAAAAGAACTTTGGGGAATTTCTTACAAAATTAATGTGAAAGAAGTGGTGAAACATTGCATGTTGTTCTTAAGGGATAAACATTTGTATTCTACTTCAATTATGAATCAAATCATTGCAAAGGCTGAAGCGAACAAGTCAAATACAGAAGGAGATATAAAGTGTGTTTCGGATATGATAAAATGGTGGATAGTTATTTTGATGACTTTATTAAATAATATTCCGAAGGTGTTTGAAGTAGAGAAGAAAAAGGAAGCAAATACCACAACTACAACTTGACACAAAGGGGATATTTTTAGGGTTCGTAAATGTGACAACCCGAAATTTTCATTTGTATAAACTCTTCAATCAAGAGCTACAATTAATAGTCAATTACATGTCTGTTAATTTTTAGCCGGTTTAAAGCCCGTTTGTGTGTTTTTAATAATTATTCTTCAAAACGAACGAATGAAAGGAAGTATACTCTAGGACTTTGGAGCAACAACAAAACAAATAACACCTTAACTAGGTGTTTACGGCCAAACTTGGGGAGTTTGGGCCGTAAACTCCTCTTGACCATGAACTCATGCATATAGCATGAGTTTACTCTTCATTCCTTCATTCTCCACTTTCAAACTCAAGAACATCAACTTTTCTCTTAAGTATCATAACATATTTCTTCAAATCCTCCAAAAATGTAAGTATTTCTTCCTTTGATTTGTTGATACAACACTTTATCTTGTGTTTATACACGATTTCATCCATGGAAATCTCCTATTTTCTTAGATCTTCAAGTGTTCTTCAAAACACCAAGAACACCAAGAACACACACTAGTGTTCTTGGGCCCTAAACACTCTTGCAAGCTTCCTATAAGTAAGTAAACTCCTCCTATCTAGTTGTTTACTTAGTATACTTGCTAAACCATTAGAAAACATCAAAAATCCCCAAGAACACTTGGGTTTACGGTCAAGGGATCTCCTTGAACCGTAAACACCATCAAGTGGTGTTTAAGTGCCCCTAACACCTTCTAAGGCTTGGATATTGGACTAGAACCTTGCACGCATGAGCTGAAGACCCCAAATCACGAAATGGTAGGAGTGACCATGAGTTTACGGCCGTAAACTCATGGGTTTATGACCGTAAACTCCAAGGAGTGGTCCAAGGACCGTAAAACTCCAAAGAAGGTCCATTTTGAGCCTAGTCCCTTTCCTAAGCCTTGAGTTCAAACCTAGAACACTCCTTGACGGGTATAAGACCTTAAATCAGATAATGGTACAATTTACATGAGTTTACGGCCGTAAACTCATGGGGTAAATGACCAAAACCGTAAACACATGTAGGGTTCCAAATGAGAAGTAAACTCCAATGTGAGACCATATTCTCTTTAGATGCAACCCTTGAGTACTCCTAGCACTTGAAACAAAGTGTTCCCATGTATTAGGATGTCTTTACTTGATTAATTAGTGGTTAAATGACTAATTAGATACATTTATGGATCACTACATGTTACATAGGATCCGTGTGTGTTCAAGTCCTCACTTGACACTTAGCATCCTATCCGGCACTTCCATCCAAACCACTCACTGCAGGTGAGTTCTTTACCCCTTAATCAACCTTTTAAATGATTTTAAATGCTTTTAGGGGGTATACAAGTTGAAACATTCTAGTTATTGCTTTAATCACATGTGATTAATAACTAGAATAAACAGAAAGATTTACTACTACTTTCAAATTGCCATCAAACTTATGGATTTCCAAGCTTCAAATCTTTTTATTAAACTCTTTAGATGCTTAAAACTATTTTCAAACTCTTTTATACTTGCAATATTTTCAAAACCATATCTACACCAGTATATTTATATAAGTAAGACTTGAAGGACTTAGGACTGATAGCTCACCTTATTTCCTATTCCTTGTTTGGTTGTGGACTTAGGGTATCCTGTTATTTGTCCGAATGTCGTTGAATTCTTAGTTATATATCATATATATATATATATATATATATATATATATATATATATATATATATATATGTGTGTGTGTGTGTGGGATATAAAATCTTTCACTTTAGTTCAGTACCTATGTGTAACAAAGGCATCCAAACAACCTTACTATTTAAAAGCAAAAGTTGAAGCAGAAGAAAAGAATGTTAAGGAAACTCTTGATGCAAATAAGGAAATGTTCCCTAAATGATCTATAGATCGGATTCAGAAAGAAGCTATTGATAATCTGAATCTATTTTGGTTAGAGCCACAGGTCTCCTTCTTAGTTAAGAACGAAATAGATTGTCAGTTTGATTTTCCGATTTCTACTAAGGCATTTCTGTTCCGATGTTTTTATTCTATTGTGAAAGCTCATTTGTTAAACAAAGGGATAAACAAGAAGTTGTTTACTTTTTGCGTGAAGAATTCTAAGCCTCGGTATGAATCATGGAGCTTAGAAAGGATTGTAGCTTTGAAAGTTGGAAAAACCAATGGTTGCTGATGGTTTTACAAATGTCAGTTTGAAGGTTTATAGAGGTCATAGTCAAACGTTGCATGAACTTTCTCTGGTTGATATTCCATTCTTGAATCCTTATGATTGGATTTCGTTGTTCAACATCGTTGCAAAGGACGTTGTGAAGTATGAGCCTATCTTTTAGTTTTTTAGAAGAATGATACGGTCTTATATTCTTCCAACTGCAAAGATTGATATTGAAATTGTAGTGGCTCTTAATCGGAAGCCTATTCTGAAACATTTCCAGCTCCTGGTGACATTGATGAATTTCAATCTGGATTTACTGAAAAAGAACTTTGGGGAATTTCTTACAAAATTAATGTGAAAGAAGTGGTGAAACATTGCATGTTGTTCTTAAGGGATACACATTTGTATTCTACTTCAATTATGAATCAAATCATTGCAAAGGCTGAAGCGAACAAGTCAAATACAGAAGGAGATATAAAGTGTGTTTCGGATATGATAAAATGGTGGATAGTTATTTTGATGACTTTATTAA